GATCCAAACTCTGTGCCTCCGGCAAGAACTTGGATCTGCCCTCCATTGGTGAACAAGACAACGCTGATTCAATGTTGGAGCGGACAACCCAGGCCCAACGACAAGATGATGATCGCGGCAGATTTCAAGTGCTGAACCTTACAGGCCAAGCTCGCCACGCAGTTGAGGAACATCGTGTGCGACAATTGCTTCACGCGGAAGAAGAGATGAGAAAAGTACACGAACGAGAAATACGACAGCATGAAGAAACTTGGCCGCGATGAACTTGCAGGTGAACCAAATGGTACAACGGATGGAATTCCACGAGCGAGAAGACCAAGGTGCAACCATGAGGATTGAAGAGCTCGAACGACAACGCGATTTACTGTCAAACGCAAATGGACATGTGAACCGAAGATATCAAGAGACTCATGCTCCTGCGCAGCCAGGCGACACAGAGTTTCGGAAATCTGGAGCAAGAAGCTCAAGGCGATGGACACACCATGGCCGTGCAGTACCAGAAGCTTACGAATACTCTCCACGAGAAAGCTCGTGAAGCCTTATTGTTCAGGATGGAATCTTCAAGCAGGGAGTCCGAACTGGCAGCAATGCGAGAGACGGTTGAGATGATTAGAGGAGAGGAACATTTGGCGAAGGAAGAGGCGAACAGCGCCATCCTTGCAGCGGAATCTGGAGTCTATGCTTTACAGAACAGGCTGAACAAGGAAGAGATCGCCAAGCATGAAGCCAGTATGAAGATGGGACAGGCTGAATTTCATGCACAACAAGCTCGTGAACGTGAGCGCCCCGTCACTGCTTTACACGGCGAACTGGGTGAATTACGTCTTCGTCTTAAACAGCAAGAAGAACTTCAAGCACGAAGTCAACAGGCATGGAAGCTCGAACCTGAAGCAGAACGCCTGCGAAAACAACAATCTTCTCAACGGTCATCGAACGCCGTCGAAGACTTCTGAGGATGGGAATACGTGGGTAGCCAAGTCAGTAGTCAGAAAGGGTTGTCATTCCAGTAGTGACTGATGTGCGATCCCCTGACATAGGTTCTCCGTCACAGCACAGTCCTGTTAACAGAGGTAAGACCATCACTGAAACTTTGCCCTCAATATCGCCCATCGTGCAAGATGCAAACATGGATCAACCGAGTCCACTGTTGCCATCAAGCACGGCACCCGCATCAAGCACGGCTCTGGCCGGAGCGGAAATGCGAGACAAACAGCTTCGCGAACTTCTCAGGATGCGAGGCATGTGTGGAGTATCATCATCTTCATCGTCCGGTGCTATGCAACGCACCAACATGTTCACTGGACAACCCGACAAGAACATCTTCATGGAAGAGGATGATGACGGCAAGACGCAAAAGTTGATCGCGCAATTGATGGAACAAGATGTTAGGAGGCTAAATGAAACCGGACGGCGAGACAAATCTGTCCCCGGGGCGGTGCCTTCGGCTCGACCCGAGCAGGTGGCGCCTCCGGCGAACATTGGTCCCTCTTCGTCTTGCCCGGCGCGGGATTTAAGACGCACCTTGGTTTTAGTCATTTTTTGGTGTTTAAAGGCGTTTTTTTACCGGAATCGGGTGTTTACCATAAGATCAGGCGGTTACGCTGAAATATGTAGCCCGCGCGCCCGGCATAGGTGTGTTTGGTAAGTCAAAAGTGCAGTGTCATTGGTCAGATGTTTGGGTTTCAGGGGGTGGAGTTTGATTGGATTGAACTAGGCTCGCAGCGTGAGGCTCCAGGCCCAGTGGTTCGACCATTCTAAACAATCAGCGTCGCAACGTGTCGCAACATATCACACATCATCATCTTCAACAATATGTTCACGGAGCAGTGCAGCAGCGTCATGAGAAATATGGATATAATCATGCCGAAGTGTAGCTCGACATCATGGGGAAATCATCGAGAGGACGTCTCTTGAAACGAGGCGTCGGCAAAATGGCACCATCACATGCTGAAACGAGGCGATTCCTGCGGCTTCAAGACTCGACCACTCATTGCCCGTGGCTCCGTTCTGCGCACGGACGCCGCCAGCACGTATATGCATTTGCGCAGGCTGAACAAGAACCCTTCGTACGAGCACCTGGGCTTGTGGGTGACCCAAGTGCGGCATTCTCGCAAACGCAATAGTCAAGGTGTGATGCAACCAGTGCAGTTTGTGGTACGGAAAAAGGTTCAGCTTCTCAGTGGCGACTGGGTGTGGCGCCAGGGGGGGCACGCAGAAGAAGGACGGCTTCTGGGCGTTGGTTCGCAAGCACGTGAGCCGCAGGGCGGTGCCCTCCGCCAACTTGGCAGTGCTGCGTGAAATGGCCTACTTTTATACCAGTGGCTCTATTGGCGCAGCACGGACCCCATTCGAGATGCCAACCATGGACGACACAAGGAGGCTCCTGCAACGGACATGCTTCAGGAGCTTGGGGCTCTGCGGAGACGACTGTTGCAAGCTGATGGCGCAAAATGCAGGTGTGCTGCGAGACGTGGCAGGACTATAGCCATGAAGAAGGCTTCCGGTACTACCTCCACACTGTCGGAAGCGAAGCAAGGCGTCTGTGTAAAGCTGCTGTCGGAGCAAAATGTGCCCAGAACCCATGCGCGTCTTAAATATTCCGTCCCATTTAAGAGCCCAGCAATAGGTAATTTGGTAGGTTTGTTAATAAAAAAAGCAGTAAGAAGGCTTTGTCGGACCAGAACCTCTGTGCAGTCTGAAGGCCCCCAAACAAGGTGTGAAGTAGGAGGAAATCTGCACTTTGTAGACCCTTACAGGGAAACAGCGTGCGTCTTGAATCCCGCGCCCGCCTTCGTCTTCAGACATCAACAGTCATTTGGAGAGGATCGAAGCCGATTATGTCGCCCAAGTGACCACACTTCGACTTGAGCTACGCGAAGCAAAGCTGACAGAGGAGTGATTTCGAGAAGATCGAAACGTTTGGAGACAAGCAGCAGAGCAGTTTCAACAGGGATATGACCAGGAAAATGGTGGTAGAGAGACGAAAATGAGGATGAAGAGGAAGTATCACCCTCTGAATCTCCTACAAACCTTGGACCTGGTGCCCCTGGCGCCATCCAAAGGACGAAAACGTGGCGGCGGTGATCCTGACCCTACACCTCCCGATGATCCTGACGTCGACGGTGGCCGCGAAGTCACATCAGTCAAGATATCGAGAAGAGAGGCAGACAAGGTTGCAGTTCCGCTTTTCCCAAGGATGACACACCATGACAGTTGGATGGCTCACTGCGCTGCGAATGTCCTCAGCGCCTGCGCGGACCCGCATGAAGAGTGAATGAGCTGGTTGCAACCAGCATTCCGACCAAATCCTGACATTGATTGAATGACTCAGGGAACATCAAGTTCAAGAGTATTGACGTGAAGTTAGGCGTGGCTATGACAGCCATGATCAAGGCAGGTGGTGACAACTCCCAGGGTCCCTACCTGAACGTCAATCGAAAGGCGAACAAGCGCACGCATGATCAGTCAAAGATGATCAAAGGAAGACAAATCATTGCCATGATGTACGAAAGTTTCAGGACTCGTGATCGACTGGACATGATCGTGTCGCTTGACTACCTCATCAAGCTACAATGGCAAGGTGATCAGAAGATGAATACGTTCAAGCAGACATGGTTGGAAATCATTATTGGTCGAATGCGACCGGAAGACGTACCGTCTGAGACAGCATTGAGGGATATGCTCTATTCCAAGATCAAGGATTCACCGGCGTTGAAGAATGAACTTTGAGTGCATTATGACATGCTGAACTACGATGATCCCGAACGGTCGTACGACGAACTACTCCTCATCATGGATAGGTGTATTCAGAGGAGTCGAGAACATAAGAATCAGGAGCAGATCAGTTCTGGTTTCAATCTGATGGTAATGGGCAAAGATGCAATGTCAGCGATGGCAGCAAAAGCCAAAGGAGGTGGTAAGGGCGCATGCAATCCATCCGACAAGAAGGGCAATGAGACGGACAATGAGAACGCTGCCCCAGTTCTTCCCCAAAGCAAGGCCAAGGCTCACGCCAAAGCCAAAGGCAACAAGGACAAGAACAAAGATAAGGCCAAGCAGAGGGAGAGATCTGAGTCGACCGATGGAAAACCGAACATGAAGCATGTCAGGTGCAAGTTCTTCTTCTCCGAGCACGGCGAGTGCAAGAACGGAGACAGGTGTGCATTTATAGCCACTCCAAGAAGACTCCCGAACGAGGACGAGGCAACACTCCCAACAGAAGAAGAACATCATCAAGAAGCCCATCGTCCGGAAACCAACAGAAGGAGTGCTTCAATTTCAAGAACACTGGAAGTTGCAAGCGCGAAAATTGTCCCTATGCGCACGTTACCCCTGCTACTCCAGCGGAAGGTGACAACAAGGCTGAGGCCAAAGCCAAAGCTAAGGCAAAGACAAAGCCAGATGCCAAAGCTGAGGCCAAGACCAAGGCGAAAGCGAAGGGCAAACCGCAACCTGCAGCTCCTGTGATCCGAATGTGCAGGGCATGGAACCCGCTCGCTCCGGCTGTGCGAAAGAAACCACACGTCGAAGAAGACGAAGAGTCAATGGAGCGACTTCGTCGGCCAGACCATAGGAGAGCAAGAGTGTTTCATTCGCCAAGGACGTAATGTTCCAGTCATCACGACTAAGGAGATCGTACAAAGAACGAGGCGAAGAAATAATCAAGGTGGATACTGACGAACTCATCGAGAGCGAGAACAGCGTAAACGAGCTTGGGGTCGCTATGCACAAAGCTCGTTTGAAGGCGCAGTTGATGATTGACATGATCGAGGATGATAAGCCTGGCGATCGACGTGTGTACATCGGCGTTCCAGGCACAGACAAGGTCAAGCAGATTGTATTTTTTTCGACGGTGCAGACGAGATTTTAGAGATGCACGTCAACTCCAAGAAAAGCTAAGAAGTAAACATCTTTGAGAAAGTCACATGTGTGGTTCAACCTACATGGGTAGGATCGAAGATCAAGTTCCTCATGGGCGCTGGATGTGGGCATGATCTCATATCTCAACGCAAAGTCGAGAAGCAGGGCCTGGAAACCCTCGTCAGTCAAGAAAACGGCGTTTCATTTCAGACAGCAAATGGCAAACGATCAACCGTACGTTCTCGAAGACACATCGTCAGTTCTTCCGGTGGGAAAGAGATGCATGCAACAAGGATATGGATTTGTATGGCCGCCAGGCAAGGATCCGTTCATGATCAATCCGGATGGGAAGCGAATTTCTCTGTTCGTCAACGGCGACATTCCTTACGTTCGCGCAGGAAGTCGAAAAGCCGGGCCATGTGACGATGAGATCGCAGCCAGCATCAAAGCCATATTCGACAACATTGGTGAGGATGGGGTATTATCCAGCGTAACAGCGGATGCCGCCATTGAAACGGCAACACCAGGAGAAGACACGGAAGGTCCACATGATGATGAAGCCGAAGGACCTCCTGATGATGAAATATCAGCAGATGAAGCACCTGGTGAAGAAGTACCGTTGGCAGAAGCGGGAAGGCCTCCAGAACCGCCTGACGGAAGAAAATGACGCGGAGGATGAAACGGAAATCGAAGTCGAAGGAGAAGGAGCACCTATTCGCGAAGCGAAGATTGGTACTCTGGAAGCAGAGGCAAAGACCCCTGCACACCTTTGCGAAGATGAAACACTTCCGAACAGAACGTGGGGCCTTCAAAAGAGAGCTGAAGTCATGGGGCGATTTGATTACAATCGACATGCGCAAAGCCCTGACATGGGCGTGGGCAACGATGATGAACGTAGAGAAATTCTGGTCGCGGGCGATGTAGCCGCCAAGGTTATCGCGGCGATTCCTACAGAAAACCGGTTCACAGAAGACGTCGTTGACGTCCTGAGAAGATTTATTGGAAGACGGAAAGTGAAGCTCGCCTACAGTGATGCCGCTCCCGAGTTCGATTCAGCAATGGCGCAACTTCGTATTCCGATTGACCACTCACTGCCCGGTCACCCGGAGAACAATTCTCTTTCAGAAGGGACAAGTCAGGACGTGATCAACACCGTGGCCACATCTCTACTACACGCAGGACTACCAGCACAATATTGGCCGTTTGCCCTTAACTGTGTGACTGACAATCTCAACACTGAGGATGTGGACGGAGAAGGTGATTCAGCTGGAAAAGGATGACAGGTGAAGACTTCAAAGGGAAAGCCATACCATTCGGTGTAAAAGTGTTCTTCAAACCCACAAGCACAAGAGAGAAGACCTACGCCGGAAAGTTCGACCCGAAAGGGATTCCGGGAATCTTTGCAGGGTATGTGATCACTGCTGGACAACAATGGCCAAGGAAGTACAGAGTTCGGGACATGGCAGAATTTGCTAACGTGAACCTGTCCATGGACGCTGCAGTGCCACGCAAACTTGCGCAACCTTACCTGACAGAAGTGGTGGTACTTCCTGAGAAGCTCGAGTTTCCGCTGAAGAACGAGGGCGAGCGGATGAACGCTACACTTGAGGGGTTGAAGGACAACATCGATTTACAAGGGAAAGCGATCAAGGATCTCGATCCCGATGATCGGCCACCTGACGGAGATCACGGTGATGATGATGACGACGATGATGATTTAAAAAGCAGACCTCCTCCAGAACCAGGCGAAGCAGATGACGGGGCTGGAGTTGGAGGCGATCCATTGGATTATTACGAGGCTATTGGCGCGATGGTTGAGAAGTTCCTCGTGGAAGCACCTGAACGGGGAGAATCACGCGGAAGTGCACCATCGTCTGGGTTGCCGAAGACGGGGGAACCACGGTCACATGATGAAGTGGGACCTTCTGGCAGACTTCTTCCAAAAGGGGATGAGGAAGACCCATGAGAAATCCTACGTTTTCTAAAAGACGCAAAGCTCGTGGCAGATGAAATTGATCATTGGCATGTTGGTGTCGAGGGCGACGGTGAGATCTACCTCAATGATGATGGTGAAGCGTATAGGATTAACAACCGTGGCGTGACCTACAAGGTTGGAAGCGACGGTCGGCGTATCGTTCCTACCCGACGACCCAAACATCTGTATTCGCCAGAAGAGTGGGACGCAACGGGTACCAAAGCCAGAGACAAAGCTTCCAAGAAAGCCAAAAGAGAAAGGGCTAAGGCATCCAAGAAGGATAGGAAGAGAGCCGCCGTGGGCAAGAAGCTTGTGGACAAGATGCTGGGTAAGGTGATCTTTCCCAAGATCGTACAATGTGACAAGATCGATCTCGAACTGGGAGGATCACGCAGTGAAGGATGGGAATGGGCTGAAGAGTTGATCCAGCAACAACTTCAGGACGAATATGTTGAGGACGTCACCCCGGCAGTCCCAGCTTGCTCGGTTTTCAACGAAGATTGGATACCCGCTATGCCATGCACTACATCAGTGCCACAGCAACATCGTGTCAAGAACCCAGAGCACAAGTCTTGTTTCAAAGCCATGGTCACTCGTCCAGTTACACGGAAAGAGATGATCTCTAATGATCTCTAATCCCGAAGCCACGGAGGCATTTATGAAAGAATGGAAGGGGCTGTGCGGTCAGGAAGTCTTTGATTTTTCTCAAACCCGTGAGTATGACGACGTGGTCAATGAGGCAAAGAAGAAAGGTCAGAAGGACACATGGCTCGCGTGCGCGGACTCATCTATGAAAAGAACTACCAGGTCTACCAGTTGAAAGAGGATGATCCGGCCAGGAAGTTCAAAGGACGAGGCGTTCTACTTGGTGATCAAGTCAAGGATCAGAACATGGAAGCCGCGCTCTTTCAAGACCTTGGCAATTCTCCGGCTACCTTCGATGCATCGAGGTGGGCCGATTTCTATGGTTGTTTACCCGGGAACGATGTCCAAATGGCAGATGCTATCCAAGCTTTCATCCAGGCGAAACGGCGAAACTATCCGGCACTCCATGTTGGGTCGAACTACCGGAATAAGGTTCAGCACTTGAAGTCTGTCGCGATCATCATCTTGTTGGGCCTGGATTGTCCGTTCCAACATTGAACCAGCGTTGTCTTGGTCACCAATGGAGGGCAGATCCAAGTTCCTTGCCGGAGGCACAGAGTTTGGA